GTAGACACACCCTTATACCCATTTCGTGGCGTCCTGTGTATATACTGACAACAATTTGTGAGTCCAAATTTTTTTATTCATCACTCCTTAAGACCTGCTACCAGCTATTCTCAATCCATTTCTTGCGTGATTGGTATACGACGGCCTTTTCTCCCCATTTCCCTTCATTTCTGATGAGACTTCAGCACACAGTAGTTGAATCAACTGAAGGCCAGATGCACCTCTCCTGTGTCAGGTCTTTGCTGGATTTTTGGATATTTCTTAAGGACATGACATTCATATACTCTTCACTGTAGATGTTTTTTAAGCTTCCCACTTCTTCATTCTTTACACAAAATCTTTAGGGATACCCTACACACCATCCTGATATATGTGACACAAGCTTTCAGTTAATAATGCTTTTGAAATCACCTTGGTGGAGCAAAAAATGTTGTCGTATACCTGCCAAACTGCAATATCGAACTACTGTTCAAGACCAAGAAAGTCTGGCTGGTACTTTACATTGTAGTTGAGCTCCACCACATCCTCACCACTATTACAGAAATGAGACATTTAAAATCAAAATGTGAGTTAACCATTATGAACCTTTACTTTAAGGCATGCATTTTTCTTTCAGTGGAAAAAAGTCACAAGAGGCTTACTGGAAGGCAGTGACACAATGTGTGCTGTTTATTACTGGATCTGTGACTTACTGTGCAACAGTATAATGTCATAAATCAAATGCATTAACCGACCTTAAAACAAAATCAGTAGAGAGTGATGCAATACTCTGATCACCCAGTATAACGTTTTCTTTAAAGTCAGCCATTAAGCTTTTGGAAGCAATAAGCCATCATCGCTGCCAATCCATAATTAGTTTACTTCATTATTAATGTTTCTGCATGCACTGGTCTGTTGCATTAAAGACATTTGTACACACACAAACAAAGAAATGCAACATTGGTTATTACGCACTCACTCATACACACACACACACACAGAAATGTTGACTTTTTGCTGAAGATGCTAGAGAGGGTTCTGACATTTGCTCCGAAGTATGAGGCTTTCAGACCAACAGGGTTCACTGTGACTGACATTTTTCCAAAACAGGTGGAACAGACAGAGTCACAAGATGACACCCACTCACCACCAAAAACAGCTCAGAACGTGAAGGACAACTGAACGACAGAACAAAGATGGCAGTGATTCCTGCCCTGCGTTGGATCAGAGCAGGAGGTCTGTGACTGAGGGCAGCAGTTCGGCTAACTCCGACTCGACATTGGCCGTTTGAGTGACGGGGTTTCCACGGAGGTCAAGGCGTTTCAGCTTGGGGCAGGATGCCAACGTCTGAAGATCTGCCAATGTAGAGATTTCTGCATGTTTGAGTTAATGAAAATCCCTTGCAGTGTGCTGTGGTAACATCAGTAACGATGAATAACATGAGCTCTGATGCACATATTCCAAGCACAGGTGTAAAAAGTACGATCTAAATGACAAATATGACACTGAGATATAAATTCATTCTTCTAAAAATAAAACGTGGAGCAGTCAAAACAACAATAGCAACTGTGATTGCCAGAGGAAAAAAAAGAAAAACAGTAACTATCCTCATCATAACCTGCAAATCACATTAATTCCTCCCAAGTGTAGCAGGGGAAGTGAAGCATGAAGAGGAGGGAGTCTGTGGTGATGATGTGTTGATAAATGTTTCTTCGCTTCTTAATGATGCTGTTTGTTCGGTGAAATTGCGGTGCTGTTTTTATTTACCAGATCGATTCAGACGTAGGTAAAATAAATTATTCATGTATTGAGCTGAAGAGTTGTGTTAAAAGTGCAATTTTCTAAATGCTGTAAACACAATCTTCGTGCGTAGCGTGTCTTTTACATCAGCTGCTCGCACTCTTTACAGGATTGTTTTGAAGCACTGAGCCACTCAGAACTGATTAACACATTTCTTGAGTCACTAGTTCCCTGTGAAAAGACAAACAGACAATATAAACTGATCCCTATGACACTAATTCTGAAGGATGAATGGAGATCCAGAACACACTACTAACTAAAGGATACTGTTGTTTTTCAAGAGGACTTCCTCCAGTTTGGGAAGGTGATAAACTCCCTCCAGGTTTTCTATGGCGTTGTTATCAGCCTCCAAGACCTGCAAATATGAAGAAGTCATTGATTTGCAGGAGAAAAATTTCATCAATATCTGTCTTTCCTTTTCTAATCTATTGGTGCAGACACAAAAGAGGACAGAATCACTGTCCATGCAGGAGAGCAAATTGGATTTCAATTGCAGCTTCATCACCTCGAGACACTGCAACATGGCAAACTGAGGAGGCAGCCGCTGCAGGTGATTAGAGGACAGATTGATATGGGTAACCAACAACAGCTGGTCCAGGTGGCATAAAGTGGTCAGGTTCTGTTACGAAGAAAAAAAGAAATCAAATTTAAGCACCTCCCTAATCAGCAAAAAAGGTTTCAGGGAAATCTGATGTCTTGTTATGAAGCGCCTTGAGGCGACATTTGTTGTGATTTGGCGCTATATAAATAAAATTGAATTGAATTGAATTGAATTGTTATTCTGACCCAACCTTGTCAGAAATGCTGAAGACGCGCACTTCAGCATACTCCATTTTCAGGATGGTGTTTTCAATCATAAACTTGCTGCACAGGTCACTGTAATATGCAGAGCGCATGGAATCCACTTCCTAGTGAATAAAGCCATTTAATTAGTAATTGCTGACTGCATTGTAGACAAATGCATTTATTGCCAGTCCCATATACTGGACTGTATGTGGTTTATACTCACTTTGAGTGTTCTAAAATGAGCAAGCATCTCCTGTTCGTATCCCAGAGGGTCCAGTGCCCTCATCAGGAGAATAATGGTCAGTAAGCACCCTGCCGAGGCAAAGCTAGCAGTCAGTGGTTGTATAAGACCTTTATCACCAGCAACATCAAACTTCAATACTCAACCTAATCTTGTAATGGGAACAAGCACACCATCTCACCAATACATTCCTTAACTCCCATCATCAAAGCTGCCTTTCATGAAAATGTCAACTACACACCTGCAAAGTTTCGCAACCACATTGCACACAGTTATAATGCTAATGTATTATGCAATTATGTTTATAGGCCAGAGATTCTTAAAGATTTTATGGCATTCTCCATTTCAGAAGCTGAAAAAATACTCACACCCCACAATTTTTTATCAATCAATGACAACACAAATGGATAGAAATTGACTTTAGTGATGTAAAGGTCAACCAGATAGCATCAGCAAACATTTGCTTGTGTGTTTTTCCTGCAAATCATATTTATTCTAGTTAGTTTCACTCCATAATTTTCCCCAGGGTCAGCCCAAGTAGTGTCTCTATGCCCCACGAGTGGGCTCCACTTCTTTTAGAGAACAATTACTCAAGAGATTAGCACTTAAAAACAACAACAAAACCATATTCTTAATTATGCAGGAATCAGATTCACATTTAGCATTATTGTTCTGCTCTGATCTGTCATTCTACACGCATACATGAAAAGCCTGAGGCAGGGGATCGCTTCTGCAAGCACAAGGACATAAAGGCTGCATAAGTAGGGCACAGCGTGAAAAACAGGGGTGAATGCAGGTTGCAAAGCAGCTTGAGGAACAAGCAGCAAGGGTAGGCAGGCTAAAACACCTAAAATAGCACACTTTATGTGATATTTCTCAGCTGGACTCAGCTGATATGGGCTCCTATTTTAGATCACCTGTTATCAGCTGATTGTGGGCTGAGCTCAAGTTTGTGGCCTGTCTGAATCGAGGCTTTGCTGAGTTTTACAAAATTC